GAAATGAAGCGCAAGAGGATGCAAGGTGTAGCTTGGCGCGCTTCAGAGGAAAGCAAGCGTTGCAGGCGCTTACTACTGTGTAGTTTCCAAGCGCTACCAGAATTCTCGGGGAGCGATGTCTGGTTAAAGTGGCTGCTATAATGCAAGGGTTATACAATACTCACAAAACTGCCAAATGAAGCGCCAGGAAATCACCAAGACCCGTTGCAGCTTTCCAATGACAGCCCGCCAGCTTGAGGAACTGGCAGGCTCCTGCTTCTCTTCGGGGATGACTCTGTTGAGAGTTTGCTGCAAGCTCATGGAAACAATTTCATTGCAGGCATTCATGCTTTCAAAAAAAGGCACGTGAAAATGCACACCTCCAAGGCCTGCACACACCTAAGTTACATTTTGTTCTGGGAGTCAGGTCCATACATGTGCCACCATGGCCCAGAATATAATTGCAAAACGCCCTCACGCAACCCCAAAACAGAACAAACCAACCAAACGCACACATCAAGAAAAGAGCCAAATCTCACTGAGTTTTGCGTAGTATTGCCCTGGAGCACCCTGGACAACAAACATGTAACTCACATGCCCCATAGATGCCATAGATAGTTGCATTTTTGCCTGGAAAAATGTAACTTGCAATAGTTACATTTTCAGAAAATGCCTAACAAATGTAAATTACATTTTTTCAAGCATATGTAAGGAGAAATTGTAAGTAACATTTTTCGAGGTTCCCCCCTGCTAAGGGGTAGGGATTTTGCATCAACTTTTCCCCTGCCCCAACACCCCTTATAGCGGACAGCCTGCATAGATGGTGCGTGCTTGCTTGCTGGCTTGGCTTTGCTTTCCTCCCCTTTCCTTTCCTTTCCTTTTACTAAATTATTCTCGGTGAGACTCTTGCGCCACACTTTTGTAGGATAATCTGAATGAATGAAGGGATCCCTTGGGGAGGGAAGCCGCAGGCGTCCCGATGTTAATGATAACAGGTGGTGCTGCGAAGGTCCGGCGGAAAGAGCGTTAGAAGCTGCGTTGTGCGCACTGCTCGCGTACAGCCCCAAACATTCCGAAAAACAAGCAACACTTATCAGATTTCGATTGCAGATGCGACAAGGGATCCGGATCCTGGAGGATTTTCCTGAACCGACTTGTCTTTATGTTTTAACACCTTTCCGAACACACAGGCAAATCACCGCCTTCTGCCCACGCCCTGCTGAGGGGTTGGCGTATACTTGTATATGAACATCAGTTGAACTCGATTCGTGGCCAGTAGCAGGCTAATTTTCATGTTTGCCCTCCACTTGTTGAATGACAAAGCAATCTTTTGCCGAGAGGGGGGTGTTGAATGTTTCTGCACATCCGGCCAGAAGCGCTTGAAGCGACCTTCTCGGCTTTGGCTGACAACCTCACTGGCAGCGAAGCACGGTCGGTCAGAGACTTCTCCACCAGGTGGTTCAGCACGTCAGGCAGCGCATTGCTGGTGACGGAATTTGTCACCTACTACGAGGCCAACGACACTTACCAGGGCAACAATGTAGGTTTCTCGCTGTCCACTGACACTCTTTATGCTATGCAGCTATGCATGTTTTTCGATTGTCCGTACCTTGCTGCCTGACTAGGGGTTGTTCCACATGTTGTGAGACGCCCAGGCTTGCTGGACGCCATCAACACCATAGTTGCTGATTTGTCCGGGCCGGCGTCTCTTCTTCAGAGTGGGACCTCTGCAGTGGACGAAAACCTGGCTGACAGTTGTGGTTACCTTGCATCTTATGCGGATGCGGTGTTTGGAGAGGGCAATCTCTACGAGATGCTGACAGAGCTGCTCATTTGACAACGTAACAACCTTTTAATTTCAAACCAGGGCTACAGATTGTTGGAAAACGCTCGCATGCCATGCATGCTTGATTGCGCTTTGCAACTTTGGGTCCTGAAACGGCTCTGCATTGCGTTGGCCTGTTTGGAGACAGACACGGACTTCTTGATTTCAGAATTGTTTTTGTGCACTTATAAATTTTCTTTTGCAAATCCATGGACTTTGTCGCCCCAGCCAAGGCTGCAAGCTGTTTGCGGCAACCCCGATGTGGCTGCAGCTCTGCCTGCTGCAGCGGAGCCCAACGCTGCTGCTTTGATTGAAGGGGCGTATGTGCTGGAGACTGGGGCTGCTCCCACAACCACACAAACAGCAACAACAACAACAACGACAACAACAACCACGACTACTAATGCTTCTACTTCCACTTCAACAACCACCTCCACAAGGAGAACGACAACGACAACGGCTACGACGACTACGTCGACTACGACGACGACCACGACTGCGACGACGATGACGACCACCACCACCACCACCACCGCCACCACCACCACCACCACCACCAGCACGACGATCACCACCACCACGATCACCACCACCACCACCACCACGTCCACCACGATCACCACCACCACGACGCCCACCACCACGACCACCACCACGACGCCCACCACCACCACGTCCACCACGATCACCACCACCACCACGACGCCCACCACCACGACGCCCACCACCACAACGTCCACCACGATCACCACCACCACTACGATCACCACCACCACGACGACCACCACTACGACGACCACCACGACGAGTACTACGACCGCCACCACTACAGCCGCCGACGGCGTTTGGGAGTTCAGCCCGGATCCAGGCGCCTATATAAAGTCTTACCACGCGCGCCAAACTTCATGGGCCATGACAGGTGTTGCACGAGGCACAGGCCTAGATGCGAAAGGAGGTGTACCAGGCAACATCGTAGGTGTTTGCCCTTGCTGCTTGGTTTACAAGGAGGTCATTTTTCTTTCTGGTCAGGAACCTGCGATGATGTATGCGGAGTCGACAACTGCGATACCCAAAAGCAGGAACAACTTCAAGGAGCAGAGCCTTGTTTCACGACATAGGGTGGTTTTCACACATTTTCATTTTGCGCTGCGGGTGAGCAATCTTCTTAGGAACATGTTGCTTTGTTTCCGTGTCCTGAACAGCGAGTCCAAGGATTTGGTGGCTGTGTCTACAAGCTTGGGCTCGCCGTGCACTCTTGACCCGGGTGTTAACTGGGCAGCTGCCCGTATGTGGCGGGAGGGGACGTGCTTCCCTTATGGGGGAGCGCCGGGCAACACCGCATGTTCTGCCACATCCACATTCAATCAGGGCCGCCTCGATTTGCTCAAAAAGCTTGCAGTTTGCGTGTTAATGTTTCCCATGCTTGCGAGTTTGTGACTGCCAGAGAGTGTGGATCTTTATTGAGGTTTAAAGCAATTCCGGGGACAGGCTGTTGGAACGATTCCAACTCATGCTTTTCAACTTGTTAGGCATTTGACAGAGAGAGCCCCACTTGTTGCACAGCACTTGACTTAACCTCTCGGCCGAATAGTGGCCCAAGCCTTAGCATAACAGGGCGCGCTGCGTTTTCTCCGCGAACATGGTAGCGGAGCTGGGCAAAGGACCAGCTCCGGCTCCATCCGGTCGCGCGATGCCATGGTGGCTTGCACTTGTTCTTTTGACGATGGCGACCGTTGATGTTGAGCGCTACCAGGACGACTACGTGTACTACCAGGACAACAAGGAGACCATCGACTACAAGGACCTGGTGATCTTGGAGGACGATTTTGGTGAGGATTGCTGCCTCACGAACTTTGAGGAGAAGAAGGAGTTGAGAATGCAGTGGATCGGCACCACTGACTATGCACGGATTGGCACCGTGGATGATGGGGAGCTCATGACTGAAGGTCAATGTGGTGAACCAGCTAGCAATTCAACTTTGAACCTCTCAGAAGTCCTGGATTGGGACCTGGACTTGAAGGAAGGTCGATTGGCACATCGACGAGTTGGAGATTGGAGCTCTGACCTTTTGGTTGCAGTTGGAGAGGTGATGGTCGTGAGCTCAAAGAGGTACTTCAACGACTTGAAGAACTCCTTTCTTGACTTTTTGGACCCGATCCTCCAGGAGTATGACATCTACCAGAAGGTGGAACAGATGAACGAGATGATGGGCTGGAGAGCTATGTGCTTCTTGCTCTTCCTGGTAGCATATGGAGTTGGCTTGATGTTGAGCCAAATGCGCACTTGCAGGAGGTTGGCTTCGAGAAGAAACATGACTACGGGCCACTTGAGCTACTACAAGCAAAGGAGATGGAATGGCAGGCTACGGGGACGCTTTGAGAAGAAGTTGCAGCTTCGTGGTTTGGTCTTCATGACCTTGTGGCTGAACACCTATGCCATGGACCAAGATCAGATGGCCAGAATGCTTGACCATGTGGTGAACTTGGCCAATGCCGCAACGAATGCAGCAAGAGCTTCTTCGTCTGTCATGGAGAAGATGGAGAACAGAAGAGATGGTGGTGGTTTCAGTGAAGCATCCAAAATCCTTCGACCGCCCGAGACATTTGATGTTGATGACCCCATGAAGTATGTGGCTTGGAAGGAGAGCTTCACGAACTGGCTCACCTATGGCAACTACAAGTACTCAGAACTTCTCAAAGATGTTGAGGCCCTGGACGAGCCTTGCAAGTTGTCGGATTTTGCCAGCGAGGAGGTGAAAGAGATGGCAAAGAAACTATATGCCATTTTGGCATCCTACATCAAGGGTCCGGCTTCTCAGATTGTCCGGGCAGCCGATGGCGAGCGGAATGGATTCCTCGTGTGGCAGCAGTTGAGGGATTTGTACATCCCAAGAGCAAGGCCAAGGACGATGGCAATTGGGCAAGCTATTATGAGTTACCCTCCTTTCCAGCAGAGCAAGAGCATGTTGGAGAACCTCTTGCAACTTGATCTTCTTTTAGATCAATATCAACTTGCCTCAGGGCATTCAATGCCAGAAGATTTGGCGGTGGCCACAGTTCTTCGATGTGTGGCTCCAAGTGTGAGACAACACCTGGAGTTGACCCTGGACGACAAGATCGACTACTACAGCCTCAAAGAACGCCTCATCCTCATGGACAAGAACAGCAAAACTTGGAGCGGTGAGTCCTATCTCAAAATGGTCCAGCAGTCCATGAGCACAAATCCAGGTGGACCTACTCCAATGGACGTTGACCAGGTTGGCCAGATCACCAAGGGCAAGGACAAAGGTGGCGGAAAGAAAGGTGGCAAAGGAAAGAAAGGAGGATGGTTCCCTTTTGGCTACAATGGTGGCAAATATGGTGGTGGCAAGAGCTTCAAGGGCAAAGGCAAGAAAGGTGGCAAAGGCAAGAAAGGAAGGAAAGGCAAGAGCAAGTTTGGTGGCCGTGGAAAAGGAAAAGGAGGAGGTGCTGCCAACAACAACACCTGTCGTATTTGTGGTCAACAAGGACACTGGGGAAATGAGTGCCCCAGCAAAGCTCAAGTTGTAACTCAGCAAAGCCTTGCAGAAAGTGAGATTGCAAGTTCAGCTGGAGGCAAGGCTCGATCGACGACTACATCCTCAGTGGCTTCAACCAATGTTCCAAAGACTGTGAGGCAGGTGACTTTGTACCATGTGGCAACACCTCGTGAAGAACAAGAGAATCCCATTCTCTACGAGATCCAGAGTGAAGGTGGTGAAAGCTGGATCTATGACGACCACTACCGGGTCAATGTCGTGAGCTACAGTTTGGCCCATGACTCTGATGCTGAGGAGAACTTTGACAACTTCATCGAGGACAAGACCAACAAGTGGTATTGTGACTTGAAGACCTGGCGCTATGTCTTGGAGCGAGAAGATGAGAAGCCAGAGCTTTTCCACGTGAGCATGGTGAGAAGTGTGCCAGAAAAGATGTTGATAGTTTTGGACTCAGGTGCTGACTGCAGCATCCTTCCAAAAGAGATGGCCAGCCGTGGACGACCCCAAGAAGGAGGAAAGGCAATCCTTGAAGATGCTCAGGGCTCCCAGTTGAAAACTTATGGAAGAAAGTTGGCTCAAGTCGAATGTGACCTTGGCATGGCAGGATCAGTGATCATCGAGGATGACTTCATTGTGGCTTCGGTGCAGACGCCACTAGTGAGCCTTGGACGACTTTTGCAAAGAGGTTGGCGCTTGACTCAAGGCACCAGTGAAGCTGGAGTGAATTTGATCGCACCAGACAGGAAGTGTGAGATTCCCCTCTTCTTCAAGAAGAACAGCTTGGCGCTCTATGGGTGCATCAATCAGGTTAGCCAGAAGCCTGAAGAAGTAAAAGGTGAGATCAACGTGCTCACAGGCCATGCAGATGATGATGAAGTTCTGGTGGTGATGACTGTGGTCAAACTTCATGATTCTCTGATGGAGTTCTACGGTTTGAATGCATGGAAGACAATGTCAGAAGGCAATCCCATCAAGTTTAAGTACCACAGCAAGAACTTCGAGAACGCCCAATTGATGTGGAATCTGCATTGGTGGCCTTTGAGATCAACGCTCATCAGGAGACAAGATGGAGATTGGGAGTTGGTGGAACATTGCAGTCGATACTACACCTTCCCTGATCCAGAAGCTGAGATTCCTGAGTGTGCTGGTGAAGAAACTCAAGTTCTGACCATTTTGCATCGCAAACGTGAACCAGTACAATGCTTTGGAACCATTGTTGGTGAGCACACAGCAACAGCTGGAGGCGCCAATGTTCAGAGCAGTGACTTCCTCTTTGAGACCGAGCCTCCAGTACCTGACGAGCTTCGACCTGAAAACCAGGTGACTGAGGAAGAGTTGGATCAACATGATTCAGGTGAGGCCTGGGATGGACCCATGCCAGTGTTTGACAACCGTGCCAACTTAGTGGTGAATGATGTCGACCTGACTGAGAACAGTAGCTTGGCAACCCTCAGAAGTGCAGCTGAATACCTGGGGTTAGGCACTGGTGGTTCAAAGAAGACTCTATGGCACAAGCTGAATCAGCAGGTCCAGAAGCTTGAGCATCAACAGCTTTTCACATCAGCCAACAGGTTGTACAAAGAGCAGAACAAACACAAAGGTTTGGTGCAAGTGGCAACTCCTCGACAACCCAGCCAGCAAGAACGTGAACTTCATGAGCTTGTACACCTACCATACCAGTCTTGGTGTGACGTGTGTGTTTCTTGCAAGAGTCGAGCAGATGCACAAAGACCTTTGGACTTGTCAGAGGAAGAGCGGCGCACTTCTCCTTCAATTCAGCTGGACTATGGTTTTGGAAGATCAGAAGGTAAGACCGCCAGCCAGACAGCTCTGACAGTCGTGTTGGTTGGTGTGGATTGTGAAAGCAGGATGTTGATGGCCATGCCAGTGGAGAGCAAAGGTGCAGACCTCCGTGGACAAGCCGAACAGGTGACGAAGTTTTCACTTGCCATGAACCACTATGGAAAGCTGGAAGTGGTTGGAGATAGTGAGCCGACAATGAAGAGTTTGTTGACTCTTGTGAAGACTCTTCGACAAGGCCTTGGTCTTGAAACCGTGTTGACTTTCAGCCAAAAGAAAGGCCAAACTGGCCGTGTGGAAAGGGCAATCCAAACGTTGAGAAGGCAAGCTTCGACCCTAGTAAGCATGGCCGAAGATCGTTGTTTGATTTCATTGCCAGGTGACCATGCTTTGTGGAGTTGGGCCTATGTCCATGCAGCCTGGGTGCTCAATCGCTTCAGCACCCATCGAGCAACACAGATGGCACCTTTTGAGCTGGCTTATGGCAGGCGCTATGTTGGAAAGGTTGTGTGTTTTGGGGAGTATGTGATGGTGCTCAGCAGGCAACCTGGATTGAAGCAAGGGCCGCAGTGGATTCCAGGTATTTGGGTTGGAAAGACTGAAGAAGATGACCTGCATATGGTGGTGGCTTGCTCAGGTGTGGTTCGAGGCAAAGCAGTCAGGCGGACAGGACAACCATGGAGATCCGTCTACCTTTTCATGGTGAAAGAGAAGCCCTATAGAAACCCAAACACAAGAAGACCTTTGCGACTTCTCCCTATGACTCCAATGATTCCTCGTGGAGTTCGAGGACCTGGCAAAGGACATGGACCTGACCGAGATGGTGGAGGTGAAGACAAGCCTAATGGACCTTCCAACACCCAGCCAGGAGATCATGATGTGAGAGATCAAGATGCAGATGATGTGATGCAGTATGCACGAGATCATCCTGGCGGCACTCCGGTGGAGACAAAGGCAGGAAGTGGTGTGAAGCATGGTGGAGGAGAAGTTGAACCAACAGAACAGCCAGCATCCAAATTTCTTCGAGTACCTCCTCTACCCATGGGCATGGATGAAGATGATGCCATTGGAAGCAAAGCTCCTGTGACACCAGAGGTGAAGATCCCTTCGATGTCGACTTCAAGTAGAACCCAGGAGATGTTGGATGACACTACTGAGAAGGAGCCCAGACCAAAGATCCCAAGAGTTGAAAGCCCAGATAGCAGTCCAACACACCTCTATGCACCTCACTATGCTGGTGGGGTGAACCGTGTGGAAAAGGAATTTCATCCCGTCAATGAAGAACAGTGGGAGATGGAGGTGGAAGACTTCTTGAACGATGAGCAGGACATGGAGCGTGCCATGGTGGACTTGGACACCGTTGATGAAGGACAACCTCCACAAGTGGATGAAGAGACCATGAAGGAGATCGAGGCAGCTGCTGGGCAAGAAGAGATCAGCAGACTCTTGACTACGGGAGTCATCAGAGAACCTACACAACAGGAGGTGGAGCAAGGAGAGATCCTGACTACCAGATCAGTTTATGACTGGCGCTTTCGTGATGGCAAATGGAAGAGAAGGTGCAGGTTTGTTGCGCGTGAGTTCAAAGGAAATGATGTGTCTTCTTCAAAGACTTTTGCACCAACATCTTCAATAGCAGCAACCAGACTGGTGCTTGGTACCCACGTGATTTTGAAATGGCACCTATGCTTCTTGGACATCAAAGATGCTTTTCTGCTGGTGGACCAACTTCGTCTGGTGCTTGTGGAACAACCTACATGGTGGAAGGCAGATGAAGGCACAGCAAGTGATGGACAACGACGTTTTTTGGACTCTCGCCAAATGTCTCCCAGGACAACGAGATGCAGCAGCAAGGTGGTTCGATTTCTTGAGTGAACACCTTCGAGACCTGGGATTCCAAAGCCACATGAGTTTGCCTTCGCTCTTTCGACATGAAGGCAGGCAGATTGGTGCAGTTTGTCATGTAGATGATCTTATTGTGGCTGGAGAGCTTGAAGACCTGCAATGGCTGTTGAGCAAGATGAAGGGTAAGTTTGTGCTGAGCGAGTCTGGCATCCTTCCTCGTGATGGTCAGCCTGCTGATGAAGCAGTTCGATGCCTGAAGAAGAGGCACTTCTTCACCAAAGAAGGTTTGGTGATCATGCCACATGAGCGATATGTCCCAGGACTTTTGGAGTTGTACAATCTCACCAACCGAGCAGGCAAAGCGACTCCAGAAAGCACACAAGTTGATTTGGAAGGAGGTCCAGAAGACAAACTTCAAGGTGGAGATCAACACCGCTTCCGTTCGGCACTTGGCACTCTCCTGTACATCTCCCAGGACAGGATTGACATCCAGCATTGCGTCAGAAACCTGTCACAGTTCATGGCTATGCCTACCAGAAAGGCTGAGACAGAGCTCAAGCATGTGATTTGCTACTTGAAGAGAACCGAGAACTACGGCCTGTTGCTTCCTTACACCAAGAACAAGTCTAAGAAAGCTGAGATTCTCAACTTGGCCGATGACCTTGGTGACTTTGACCTCCTGGAAGCATTCACTGACAGTGATTGGGCTGGTGATAAGTCCAGTGAGAAGAAGCGACGGCATTCAGTGAGCTCAGCCATGCTATTCCTGAATGGATGCCTTGTAGCTGGATGGTCGAGATCCCAGAAAGCCATATCATTGAGCTCTTGTGAAGCTGAGTTTTCGGCAGCAGCTGGAGGTGCAGCAGAGTCCATCCAGATTAAAGACCTTTGGCAGTTCCTCAGCAAGCGTGAAGTGAAGATTCGATCCATCACAGACAGTACCTCTTGCAGAGCCTTTACAGAGCGGCTTGGAGTTGGGAGGTTGAAACACACTGACACTCGCTACTTGTGGATGCAGCTTGAAGTCAAGAAAGAAGTTCTCACAATGGCTGGCATCCCGACGCTCTGGAATGTTTCCGATTTGGGAACAAAGAGGCTGACAAGGCAGAGGAGAGAGTTTCTCATGTACTTGATTGGTGTGGTGGAGATGACGGCTGAGAATGGTGATGAGATTTTCGCCCCAGTTGGAGAAGATTCCTTCAATGAAGTGGTCAGCAAGAAGTTAATGGCCAGAAGGATGAAGGCAGTGAAAGGCGAGATGGTCAAGAGCCTGATGGATGAAGCCAATGGAACCCAAGTGAAAGTGCCAACAAACATGGTGCGTGCAGTGACACTTTTGTTGCTTCAGCCTGGCGTGCTTGGCATGGTGGGCAAGAATGAAGTCGCTGAAGAGGAGAAGAAGGGTGACTATGTCAGTCACTTGTGGTACTTCCAGTGGTTTTGCACCTACAGCCTGTTCATTTTCATGTTAGGCATGTACGTTGGCTACAAGTACCGGGTTCGGCTTAGCATTTTGGCTCGCACTGTCACACGCTTTTTCAAGCAAGAACTCGACATGGAGATGAGAAGACAGAATGATGAAAGAATGTTCAGAGAAGGCATTCTACAGGAAGCCCGTGCACAAGAAGTCCGAGATCGAAGGAGTGGAAGAGACTTGCTTTTGAGGGCTCAGATGTGGTCTGCTGCAGGTGGGGAATGGCGATATGAAGGACGCACGATCTTTCCAGACAACCCACTTCGACCTGCAGTACCTGACCGGCAACTTGAAGTTGAATTGCAGAATGAGACAAGAACTGAGCCAAGTGAAAGCCAAGAACAAGATGCAGACTATGAGTGGATTGGTGAATGGACGACCGATTGGGATCCTGTGCTCCAACGCATGAGGGAGTATCGAGTCCTGGCAGGATCTGAAGAAGCAGAGAGTGGTGAAGAATACTTCACAGGAAATGAGACGACAGGGCTCTACAGACGATATAGACCAACAAGGTCTGAAAGAGAAGCACCGCAAAGTGGAACAGAGCAAGAAAACCCCATCAATGATGAGAGCCAGAACATGGATGTGGACATGGAAGAGAATGATGGAAGAACACACCCAGGAGGAGTATGGTCAGACTATGACCGACGTGAGCCACCAAATGATGCTAATTGGGACGACATGGAGACCATCTACAAGTACTTGCCACCAGACGAAGAACGAAGAGGACGAAAAGTCCAAGAAGCTGGAATTTTTCCAGAGAGCTTGTTGAAAGAATTCCTCCAAGCTCGAATCTCCCAGATTCATGGAAGCAATGACCCACAAGCAGCATTCGACCACGTGTTCAAATGGAATGCTGAAGAGAAGAAACATTTTGCCAATTTCGCCATCATGGTGATGAGTGGGCAATGGGAGTTGAATTGGGACGAGCACTTGAGGCGCTACGTCGAAGAAGGCGAAGTGTGAAAAGCGCCACTAATGCCGTGTCCCTTTTCAGGTGGGGTGTTAGGCATTTGACAGAGAGAGCCCCACTTGTTGCACAGCACTTGACTTAACCTCTCGGCCGAATAGTGGCCCAAGCCTTAGCGTAAAAGGGCGCGCTGCGTTTTCTCCGCGAACACAACTAAAGCTTCGCTTGATGCCCAGGAAAACGCATTTGCTACTGCTTAACCACGACTACCACGACTACCACGACCACCACCACTACAGCTGCCGACGGCGTTTGGGAGTTCAGCCCGGATCCAGGCGCCTAAAGTCATTACCACGCAGACTTCATGGGCCATGACAGGTGTTGCACGAGGCACAGGCCTAGATGCAAACGGAGATGTACCAGGCAACATCGTAGGTGTTTGCCCTTTCTGCTCGGTTTACAACAAGGGCATTTTCCCCGTCGGAACGCCAACCTTTCTTTCTGGTCAGGAACCTGCGATGATGTATGCGGAGTCGACAACTGCGATACCCAAAAGCAGGAACAACTTCAAGGAGCAGAGCCTTGTTTCACATAGGGCAGTTTTCACATATTCTCACTTTGCGCTGCGGGTGAACGTTCTTCTTAGGAACATGTTGCTTTGTTTCCGTGTCCTGAACAGCGAGTCCAAGGATTTGGTGGCTGTGTCTACAAGCTTGGGCTCGCCGTGCACTCTTGACCCTGGTGTTAACTGGGCAGCTGCCCCTATGTGGCGGGAGGGCACGTGCTTCCCTTATGGGGGAGCGCCGGGCAACACCGCATGTTCTGCCACATCCACATTCAATCAGGGCCGCCTCGATTTGCTCAAAAAGCTTGCAGTTTGCGTGTTAATGTTTCCCACGCTTGCAAATTTGTGACCACCAGAGAGTGTGGATCTTTATCGGGGACAGGCTGTTGGAACGATTTCAACTAAAGCTTCGCTTGATGCCCAGGAAAACGCATTTGCTACTGCTTAACCACCACTACGGCAGCTACCATAGCAAAAACGACCACGACCACGACCACGACCACCACCACGACTACTACGACCACCACCACTACAGCTGCCGACGGCGTTTGGGAGTTCAGCCCGGATCCAGGCGCCTAAAGTCATACCACGCAGACTTCATGGGCCATGACAGGTGTTGCGCGAGGCACAGGCCTAGATGCAAACGGAGGTGTACCAGGCAACATCGTAGGTGTTTGCCCTTTCTGCTTGGTCTACAAGAAGGGCATTCTCCCCGTCGAAACGCCAACCTTTGTTTCTGGTCAGGAACCTGCGATGATGTATGCGGAGTCGACAACTGCGATACCCAAAAGCAGGAACAACTTCAAGGAGCAGAGCCTTGTTTCACATAGGGTGGTTTTCACATACTTTCATTTTGCGCTGCGGGTGAGCAATCTTCTTGGGAACATGTTGCTTTGTTTCCGTGTCCTGAACAGCGAGTCCAAGGATTTGGTGGCTGTGTCTACAAGCTTGGGCTCGCCGTGCACTCTTGACCCGGGTGTTAACTGGGCAGCTGCCCCTATGTGGCGGGAGGGCACGTGCTTCCCTTATGGGGGGAGCGCCGGGCAACACCGCATGTTCTGCCACATCCACATTCAATCAGGGCCGCCTCGATTTGCTCAAAAAGCTTGCAGTTTGCGTGTTAATGTTTCCCATGCTTGCGAGTTTGTGACCGCCAGAGAGTGTGGATCTTTATTGAGGTTTAAAGCAATTCCGGGGACAGGCTGTTGGAACGATTCCAACTCATGCTTTTCAACTAAAGCTTCGCTTGATGCCCAGGAAAACGCATTTGCTACTGCTTAACCACGACTACCACGACCACCACCACTACAGCTGCCGACGGCGTTTGGGAGTTCAGCCCGGATCCAGGCGCCTAAAGTCTTACCACGCAGACTTCATGGGCCATGACAGATGTTGCACGAGGCACAGGCCTAGATTGAGATGTACCAGGCAACATCGTAGGTGTTTGCCCTTTCTGCTTGGTTTACAAGAAGGGCATTCTCCCCGTCGGAACGACAACCTTTTTTTCTGGTCAGGAACCTGCGATGATGTATGCGGAGTCGACAACTGCGATACCCAAAAGCAGGAACAACTTCAAGGAGCAGAGCCTTGTTTCACATAGGGTGGTTTTCACATACTTTCATTTTGCGCTGCGGGTGAGCAATCTTCTTAGGAACATGTTGCTTTGTTTCCGTGTCCTGAACAGCGAGTCCAAGGATTTGGTGGCTGTGTCTACAAGCTTGGGCTCGCCGTGCACTCTAGACCCGGGTGTTAACTGGGCAGCTGCCCCTATGTGGCGGGAGGGCACGTGCTTCCCTTATGGGGGAGCGCCGGGCAACACCGCGTGTTCTGCCACATCCACATTCAATCAGGGCCGCCTCGATTTGCTCAAAAGGCTTGCGTGTTAATGTTTCCCATGCTTGCGCGCCAGAGAGTACGGATCTTTATTGTATTTTTTCAACAAGTTGTTCCGGGGACAGGCTGTTGGAACGATTTCAACTCATTCTTCGCCCAGGAAAGCGCATTTGCTACTGTGTGACCACGACTACTACGGCAGCTGCCAGGGCTAGCACCACGACGGCGCCGATCGTGTCTTTGGCAATCAGTTATGGTTCTTCCTCCAGAGCGAGCACCGCAACAGGCACATTTCCTACCAGTGGATGGCAGCTGAGTGCTCCAGGCCCGAAAGCCCAATACTCATATGTAGGAGATGCTCCACTCATGAAGATTTGGATGTGGCTCCAAAAAGTCCTCGGCTGACAAACCAACGGACCCTCATGTCCTTTTTAACCATTGGGCCTCATCATTTGTGTTTGTATCATCTAACTTCTAAAAGACATACTCTTCTTAGTGTGTCACCTGCTCTGCGATTGTCATCCCTCCTTGGAGGGGGCACCTGCGATGATGTGTGTGGAGTTGACCTTTGCGACAAGAATGCCATGGCCAGAGTGAATGACGATGCCACGGTGGCATCAGTGTTGAGCAGTCTAGGAAAAACATGCTCGACATTTCTTGGGAGGAGCTCTGCAGGGGCTCCTTTCTTTAAAGGTCCAGAGCTTTGCACTTACTACGATGGTGCAAGCCCAGCGGGGATCGATTGCTCAGACACCACCAATCCTGGCCATGAAGCTTTGTGCTACTGCAAGACCTCGCTGATCCAGATCGAGGAAGACGAGCACGTTGCTGACGCACCTTGGCTCTGAGATCTGGAATTAAGACCCCTTTTTTGGTCTGGTGTTTGGTGCAAGACGAGCAGCGGGGAGATACAATGCTATACAGTTATACATATGCCTTGGACAATGTTTTTTCTATATAGTGCAAGCTTGCTTTTTGCCAACTTTACCTCTGACTGAGGATAGCTCGAGCGAAGAAGACGACTTCCGCTTCCCCCCCCCCGAAGGATTTCAACTTGTGCCAGTCTCTGCTGCACCTTGGTTCCGAGATCTGGAATCTGGACCCCTGAAAGAAGATTGGGACCTCTAGATCAGATTCAGATCAGGTGATTGGATCAGATATGCTTCATTGTGCTTCTAAACAGTCTGTTCGGCTCTGGTGCACACATGCTTGATTAACTTTACCCAAGGACAGCTCGCAGATGGATGCCGCGCCCTTCTCCAAGATCGTCCGCTTTGAAGCCAGCTGCGCCAACCCAACGGCATGCTATGACATTTACCGGTTTGGGGGATGTGTTGCGCCCGGTGCACTTGGTGCAGCCACAGACCGGGTGTACTGGGGAGTAGTGACCCCGGACCGTGATCGCCCAACCGTTCGTTGGAGGGAGCAGGATCCTTCACCAGTTCCTTTAGCAGGACACACTGTGGTGGTGGCTGACCCAACCTCTGCAATTGTTCTTGGTGGCCAGAGCTCCTGTTCTGAAGATGCTACCTACCTGGACTTGACTTTTTTGTGGAGGAGGGCAGACGCAGGATGGGTTAGCTTGCCTGCCATCCCAGAGCCTTGCGGTCTGTCCTTTCACACCGCGAACTATTTCAACGATGCCGGCAACGTTGGGATGGTGGTCTTGGGTGGTCGTCGTGGAACATCTGGGAGCGCCTGCAGCGATCCGACGGCTCCAAGAGTTTCGAACAAGGCATGGTGGTTCGACCTTAACGGATATGTTTGGACGGAGCGACTAGGCGAGACATTGGCTGTAGGCTGCAGATAGTCATGCCAGTCACTCCTGGTTAGAGCATTTTAGAGCAGCCTTTGTGCGTGGACTGTTTGGTCGCAGATCCGAGGAAAGAGACGGAAGGATGGCTTGGTGTATGGGGGCACGCGAGCGCCGTAGTGAATCCAACTGCGGCTGGGCCTAATCGGCTGTTTGTCCATGGTGGCCGCACGGAGGATGGATGGTTAAGTCGTGTCTTGCGCTACTCTCCTCTTGCTGGCATCTCGACACCCGGTACTTGGACGCATTTGGATGAATCAATCTTTTGAAGCCTAAAGGCTGAGGATTGAGATCCTCGGTTTCTAGCATGATCACAAAGATGGGTCAACAAATTGCAGTGATTTTGGGACAACACACAGCGATCAAGATGTTAAGTCCAAACTCTTCGGAGTTAAGGCTTGAACAGGCCAGTTTCTATGCTGCAATCCAAGTTCCCCTTTGCGTCATCCGACGTTCAAAAACATCTGACCAAGCTCTGACTTTTTTTGGGAAACCGAGGTTGTTTGCTCCGACGTTGTTCGCCTTCAAATCAGTGGTTGTTTAGCAACGTTGGTTGTTGGAGGATCAGATGTTGTTTGATCTCGAACCGAGGTTTTTGGCCATGGCTCACAAGGCTCCTTAAGGGGATTAGATGAGCTGGACCGAACAAGATATATGTGTGAATTCCGACCACCAGTTCTAAGAGAGCGCGCACATGAGTCAAATGCCCCGATGCCGTCATGGCACAAAGGTGCGCACCGAGCCACACGCTTTCGCAAAAGGGCCGCGTCCTTCGTTCGCTCGATACATGGTTTGCGTATCTTGCTTAGTTGGCACCGGAGCCTCGTTGTTTCCAGGATTCGTTGCCCGGAGGGTGGACGCAGTCGGAGCTTGACGCCCTCGAGGAGCTCCACGCCACTGTGGAGTCCGATCCAGGTGCTGCATCGAGCATTGCAAGTTGAGACAATCCTTGGCGGTGCCTTCGATGCAACCGGCACGTTGGAAGGAAGTTGCAGCCGCTTCATATGTTTGCGAGAGTTGTCACTTTGATCAGGTTTACAATGTTGAGCAACCTACACGGCAGCAGACAGTTGAGGGCACACGGCTGTATGTTCCCAGCACCGACAGTGCACCCGCTGGTGATCCACCTTGCAGTCCCATCCAGGTATTATTGGCCCGTAGGTACGACCACTGCGCAACAGAACGGTTCACAGCATGATGCTCCGAAATGCACCTTCTCCTTCACAGGTACCGGTGCGCCTTTCTACATCGTCGAAGACGAGGCCAGCAGAAGGACAGTGCGAGTTGGCACAAGCAAAGCAAGTGGTGGAGGAGCGTCGCAATGACTCGGCTTCTGACAAGAGTTGGAATTCAAGGAAAGGCCCAGCGCCGCGGCTGAAGTGGAGAGGTGGCACACCACAGCCACGCAAGTGGCAGTACCATGCATCGGACCTTCGTGCTTTTGCAAAGTATGAGCGACGACTCAGGTCTGGCAGATGCAGGTACAACACTACCTTACAGGTGCAGAGGCTAGTTTGATGTTGTTCAGCTCCCTCACTGGAGGCCGAGGCAGAGCGCATGGAGCTGGAGAAAGTCAACGCCAAAGATGGCATCAGCTACATCCTTGGTTGTTTGAAGGGCCCGCTGGAACAGAAGTGTTTGTATCAGAAGCGTATGCTGCTGTCCAACTACGAGTCCATCACCCGACAAGGCCATGAGTCGATTCGACGCTTCATCAACAGATACAATGATAGAAGCGTTTTGAGCGTGTTGTTGCAGTCGGCCGATCAGTTCAGCAGCTATGTATGATTCAGAGTCGCGTGGCAACAAGTTGTTGGAGCGTTGCATGCAAGTTGGATCCACAGCTTCAGGGGTTGATACTCATTGGAGCTGAAGCAGTAGCCCACAACTGCAGTTTCCAGATTTCAGGCCAACTCCACCGGTGTTCCAGTCAGATGGATGGCGACCAGGCAGCTCCAGCAGTTCTTCCTACAAGGGTGGCCACTACCCCAAGTCGACGGCTTCCACATCAGCTTCAAGTTCAGCACCGACCTTGCCTTCCTCCGCCTCCGCGTTCAACCGGGGGAAAGGCGAAGGACCACGCCGTGTCTACCAGACAGAGCTTGCTGACGCCGGCGATGCAGAATACTTCATAAGTGGCAGGGGTTTATGCTGCAGAAGAGGCCGATGAGGAGCAACCTCAGGACATGCACGATTGGCCTTGTGGGTTGGCCTTTTGGAGCTTAGGTCGAAGTTGTTTTTCTTCTTTTCATGTTGAAAAATAACACTAAAAATATTAGTTTTTCAATCATGGTGACAAAAAGTGCCCCACTGGTCTAAAAAATCAGTGTGGTTTTCTTTGTAACTTCAAAATGAAAAATGTCATTGTATATTGTCTTTTGTTTCTGAGAGGTTATGATCCGTATTTTTTCATACCGTTTGTGACAGGAGAAGAGCAACGATGACTGGCATGCTGATAATGATATACAAGGCAGTATATGCTTACTGCTTAGGCTACCATCCTCGTCATCCAATGCTTGCTGACCTATGGTATCATTGATATAGTTGTCAAGAAAGGCCAATGCAGCCGGAGTTTGAAGGCCAACTTTTCAAGGTTTTGAGTTTGGTCATACCTACTGAGTGATAGACTCAAAGAACGCCAAGAGGTGGTGAAAGGCATCGAAGCATGGCTTACAGAACGGATCAAGGGTGACCCAGGAAAGAGCAGCCACCTGCGCTCCATGCTGGAAACGTCTCTGTGGACTCCATCAGAGTGTACGACAGCCTGGGAGAATTGATTCAGATGCACGCAACACTTGTAAGGCTTGCGCTTTCGAGCTGCAGTCATAATAATTTGCTGGGGAAGTTGGGCTAGCGCAGCGATGCTGCTGCAGTTCGACAAGTGTAGCATGAAGTGTGACCTGAATCATGAATCAGGTGTAAGATTTCCAGGAGGCCTTGTGGTACACAGAAATTTTTGTATTTAACCTTTCTGTTGGGAAGGAAGCATGCTACTCAGCGGCGCTTTCTCATCGTATGATTTTTGTTATTTCGCACAGGAAGGGGTCAAAAGGAAAAGCTGCGCACCATAGTCATGGCTGATTGGCCATACAGTTGAACATCTGGCAAGTAACGCCCTGCTCATCATGCCCCAAAGGACCAGGAATCAAACCTCCGGCGGACTGCGGCTGCCATTTTCATGCTTCACAAAGAATGTGTCCCGCAAGGGTGTCGCGCGAGAGTGTCCCACAAGAGCTTTCATCCCACAAGAGTGTCTCCAAGAGGTGTCCTCAAGAGTATCCTGCTGTTTGGTGAATATGGATTCTTTGCGCAATCAATGAGCACAAAATGATTTTCAGGTGGAGGCAAAAGGGTTCTTCGTTTAGTTTTATGCGCCCCCAACCTTGCAGTGAACAACGCTTGGCCACAAAGACCAACTTCTTGTTAACACTGGCCCAAGAAAGGCATTCCTGAGTCACAACTTTTTTTATCAAGGAAGTCAGGAACTCAAGAAACACACCGGTTTGGAGTCAATGATAACTAGTGTCACTCACTAGCGTTTTTGCGCCAAAAGTCTTGTCAACATGGACAAATGTTCGCAAACATGGAATCTAAGCACGCAAACGCAGCAACGTCGCAACCCAAACCTGCAGCGTTGTTGCGCGCGCAGACCCGACGCACAAGCGTGAACGCGCAAGTTACAAGTTTGCTTTTTGCGCTTTGCGATTTCTGAGTTTCATTTGCAATGGTGTCGCTTTGTCACATTTTGGAGTTGCATTGAATGTGTTAAGTTAAAGGGTTGCCTATGAAAGCCTGTGCGTGATTGCCTAATTTGTGTAGCGCAGTTCGCTGATTGAGTTGATTGACGCACATGATAACTTTTGTGCACGCTGGTGTCCATGTTCTGTGACATTCTTCATTTTGCGCATCCTTTTTGTTGAGCCGTGGGGCTGTTTGCTTCGTAGCTGCGTGGGGCCCAAAGAGGCCCCACAGAGGATTTGCGTAGAAGCTATGTGGCTATGTGTGTGAAGGTTGGCGGATGCCTTTGTTGGCTCTGGTTTGTCAGTATGCCCGGCAGAGGCACCGGGTGGATGAGAGTGATGTAGCTGTCAGAAGGGTGTTCCCACGTCCAGCATGGTTTGCAGATTTGGCTGCCTCTCGTGATCTGTCCGACCTCCTTTCTGAGAAGCACGGTGTGAAATCGAAGGAGTGTGAAGCTTCATGCATTCTGCTTGCAAATGTATCCCGAGGTGCTGAATACGATGGGCCCCTCACGCAGTGGAGCCGAGAGGATGACCTTTTCTGGGAGCATTTGGGGAAACCGAGATGCTTTTACAGAAAACGTTTACATTGAGGATTGGAAAAGCAATCTTTTTGCAGCCGCCTTTATATTTAGTTGTAGCAAACCCGCAGCGGAAGAAGATTCCGTTTTGGTTGCCCAATGTCCCTCTTGACGTTGGAAACCTTCAAGGGTTTTGGGCTCCAGATTCCAGACCTCTCTCGCCATGTTGACCACCAGCAAATTCTAGACTCTAGACTTTTTGGAGGTCACTCAAGATGAATTGGTTTCATTTGCTTCAGACCCAATTTGCATGGCCATTCCTGCTGTTCTTGCCGAGCTTGTCAAAAGTGGGGAGTGGAGGTCCCTGATGTTGCAAGGGCGATGGCGTGAGAAACTGCAGCGCAGCAACGTGTTCCAAAAATTTGTTGCAGGCTTCGCTTTTGGCGTTGCAAAATTCTGGGAAGATGAGGGATCATGTCAGCGCCGACACTTCCAAGTTGCAGCTTACTCCAGAGTTTGCAAACACTCGGGCCACAGAGCTTCGGCGACTTCATCCTGAGGTTCACAAGCGTGGGAACCCTGAGGAGCAAATGAATTTGAAATTGTTCTTGGAGGAGGCTTGCTTGCGGTTACGCAGTTTTGCTTCAATTGGTGGGGGTGGATCTTCATTTGCAAACCAAAAAGTGCAGCCAGATGCCGTCGTGAAGGCACTCCTTGCTGCGATGAACCTTCGGAACCGTGCCCAACTTGGGGAGACGTTCAATTTGGCCTTCCAAAGCTTGTTCCCAGGACACTCTGCAATACCGACCAATGATTTCAAGGTGCTGTCAGCTGCAACACTTTCACAGAAACAGATAGAGGTGGACTCCTCATACTGCTGCTTCTGGCGAGATCGTTTTGAGAGCCACAAAGGACATATGTGTTTATGCAGACTCCTCGCCGCAGGCTGGGTCCGACTATCTATTATCGATTG